AACACAGCATTTCTTTAGTCGTGTTGCAAATGCTTGGTATGACTTGTTTACATTTAGTTTTGAGTAGAAAATTGTGTGCAATGTTTCCAGATGTTCAAACAGGTGTCTAATATACTGTATAAAACATGAAATTTTTTTACAAATTAATTTATTTCAACTTTCACAGGTACCTAATGACACTTTTTAAACAGATATTTAACCATTATATATCTGTCTCGTATTAAAAAGTGTTTTAATAATTGCTTAATTTTAAGTACTTTGTGGTGAGTAAATATGTTTGAAAATGTACTCAATTCCCACATAACTCAATGTTAAAAGTTAAAAACAAAGACGCTTATAACTTTTTTCACAAGTCCCCAAGGTCTAAAAAATTTAACTACATTTTTTAAAAACTTTTATCTAACAGTGGTACAAATTTCAACAAATTGGTAATGTTAATTCTATTTGCGAAAAAACCTTTCTATTATCTTGAAAAAATCTGTAATTACCTTAACGTTTTATAAACATTTTACAATATAGCTCAGTGTGTTAAATTTAATTTTTGGTTTTCGTGTTTTATGTTTTTTAATTCTTCAAAAAAAATTGTAATCTTTTTCCAATATTTTAGAAAAAGAAAAAAACGGATCATAAGGTCTTACATTTTTATATACACACAATAAAATAAGGTCTTGAGTATTAAAAGACAGAAACAGAAATATCGCGAAAAGTATTTTTCATAAAAAGCAGGTTTCTGTATTTTTTTAATAGGACGGCTGTGCTGTCGATGTACATTAAATCTTAATAAAGCTTTAAGTGATAAATTATTCGGAAAAATTGATAACTTCTTCTACCTTTAATTTTAATATAACTTTATTAAATTTCATATTATTTCTTTCACTGTTTAGTATTTTCTATGTTAAAATTTTATTCTGTTGCACATTTTCCCCAAATTGTAAAATACTTTACGAAATATGTATAATATATATATATGTTACGTACCAAGCCGGAAATTGTACAAAGCCCGATCTGTACAACGATTTTTGTACTGAGCGCGGTTGGTACAAGCTGTTTTGTACAGAGCTGTTATTTCCGGACTCTGTACAGAGATATTTGTACTGAGCTAGCTCGGTACAGAGATGTTTGTACAAAACTAGCTCAGTACGATTTCTTCTGTACAATGTTGTCCATAACAGTTGATTTGTTTATTGTTGACACTTTACGAACAATCAAATCAAAAGAATAATGATTAATAATTTCAATTAAAAATTGGAAACGATTTCAGTATTATACCAAATTTATTCGAAGGTACACGTAAATATAATCATGAATACTTTTGACATGAAAAATTATTTTTAAAATAAATTGTATAATGATATAATACAAAAAGTGATCGATTCAAAAAATGAAATTAAAAAAGTTTTGAAAAATGTAAAGACAAAAGTTAAGTAGAGAAATAGCCGGGAATTTTCTTACTAAATTAATAAAGTTTTATTATATTAATTTGTTTTAAAAAATTGCTTTTTATTTGAATTTTTATTGATGTAATATTTACGTAAACAGACACGAGTCAAAATTTAAGCCCTACTTTTAGCCTAAACATATAGGTTTTATTTAGGTTTTAGCATTTATAACGTAGGGTCTAATTGCGACACAATTACTTCGAATTAGACTCTACTTTAACTCCAAAAGCTAGTGGAAATTTATGATTAATTTTTAAATTTTAATTCTTTAGAACGATTCATGTTCGCCAAATAATCATTTAGAACATTATTTGAACATCAATGTTCTTAAAATCTTTTGGAACATTATTTGTCCGACATGAAACGTTCTAAAAATGTTTTTGGATCGAACATGGTTTCTTGCCCAAAGGAAAGATTTTCGTTAATCTTTGGCGTATGTAAAGAATATCTTAAATATCTGCATAATTTTCTTTAAATTTGTCTCACAATAAAATAGAAGAAATAACATTTTTTCTTTTACTTTTTCAGTTTTTGAACTATGCATAACTTCGAAACTGGAGCCAAAGACAGAAACCAAAAAAGGTTTTAAAGATAGGTACTTTTGCTACGTAATACTCAATAGACACAACTTCCGATCTCTTCATGATTCGGGGCCTCTGTAAGATATCCTGAATATTGCGATGCATTAGAGAATGTATCAGTATTGACAAAAGATTCAATTATTCCAAAAGATAGCTAAAGAGCCTGTGTAAATTTAATTGTTTGCAAATCTTCATCACCTCATTGTTATTTAAATGAATGTAACCTCTGCCCAGCAACTTTAAGATATATGTAAATCAATTGAAAAAGTGGAGTATACAACGTGAATTGAAACAGACAAGTCGACAATACAGATGATTACAACAAATATAGAAGATTTTATTAGCGATCTATGTAACAAGTTAAAAACTCTGAAACTTCACTCATTCATCGCTAAACAAAAATCTCAATTCCTTTTTCAAAAAAAGATTGACTTGCGCAATGCGTAAAGATAAGGTGATTATAATGATGCATTTTCATTACATAATCGAAGTAAAAAATTGTTAATTTTTTGTAAATTAAAAATTACCTTACATTAAGGTAACAAAATCTAGTGCCCAGTTGGTAATCCTTCATATTCATGATCATATGACTTGCCTAAATACAATATGTAATCAAGATAAAAATAGTTTTTAGAGTATTTTATTTGAACATAATTTATCTTTTAAAATTAAAAACATAAAAATAACAAAGCTGATGTTATAAATTTACACCTATTTTTAATGTAATACAATGAACAAGAAATTATTAAACTTATTGTTAACAATACATAAAATGTCAATGAAATTTAATTAAAGAAAGTATTTAGTTACTTTCCTGTACCCAAGAAATTCGGGTTATACAGGAAACATAGTTGGCACCTCGAAACATGCAGGGAAGTATATATATATATATATATACAAATCTGTATATATAAAAACATATCTTTATAGTATATAAAGATAGGTTCCCCATTTGTGCGAATGTGGCGAACCACATGCCAGACGTCCATCAGTTACATCGTTGCCCGAAGTGTTCCGAAAAGTTTTTCATTTGGAAAGTTAACTTTGCTCAAACCCTACAAATCCAATGTCCATGCTGAAAACTGCATTACCGAAACGGACCACGTATCTTGCTGGAAGTGATTTATCGTTGAAAGAGATTTATTTGCGTTCGACGCTAGTTGCCTAGGGCCGATGGTATAGAACCGAAAAGACACGACTATTCAGAAAACACTTCTATAAACGCAATAAAGCAGCTACTGATATCACACTAAACGAGACTGCTTAGTTTAAAAAAATTAATATTTAATTTTTTCAAAAATTGTTTTTTATTTATAGAGGAAACGGAAAATTTCATGCAAATTAAACTACTTTTAAAATTAGAGAGATGTAAATCGGATAACATTTTTTTAGTTATTTGACTTTTTACAATTGTGCATTTGACATTGTTGATTTTTGAAATACACGGTGGATACACAATACACAGTGGAACAAATTTAAAATAATATTTTTGAGTTAACCCTTTAACGACCAAATGTGCTGATTTCTAACTTCGATTTCAAGCTCTTATTATTCAAAGAAAAAAATTATTAAAAATTCTGCAGGCACATACCCATATGTTTTTGGGGTCGCTCTTTCGAATGGCATTGTCAAAATTCCCAAAAAGTGCCATTTAACCCTTATTTTTTTCAAAAATACTCAAAAAATACAAAATTTTGGAAAGTAATTTTTTTTTGATCCAATTTTAGTTAGTATATTAATTTTTCCAGGTCACCTAAGGTATACAAAACGTGTTCCCGATACTTCTAGTTTGAAAATATGCTTTGCGTTTTAAAATTTTTTGTTTTTTTTAATTAAAATGGCGCCTGAAAATAAATTTTTTTTCAAAATTTAACACAGGATGGACAAAATTTTCAAAAATTGTTGAATTCGCTTGAAACTTGTTACTCGGGGGTTTTCGGGGTCGCTGATTACGAATCTGAAGTCATATTTTCAAAATTCAAAATGGCGGATCCAATATGGCGGACGACAAATCTAAAACTTTATCGTATTGTCTTCAAATTTGTTACTCGGGGGTTTTCGGGGTCGCTGATTACGAATCTGAGGTCAGATTTTCAAAATTAAAAATGGCGGACCCAATATGGCGGACGACAAATCTAAAACTTTATCGTATTGTCTTCAAATTTGTTAATCGGGGGTTTTCGGGGTCGCTCATTACGAATCTGAGGTCAGATTTTCAAAATTAAAAATGGCGGACCCAATATGGCGGACGACAAATCTAAAACTTTATCGTATTGTCTTCAAATTTGTTACTCGGGGGTTTTTGGGGTCGCTGATTACGAATCTGAAGTCATATTTTCAAAATTCAAAATGGCGGATCCAATATGGCGGACGACAAATCTAAAACTTTATCGTATTGTCTTCAAATTTGTTACTCGGGGGTTTTCGGGGTCGCTGATTACGAATCTGAGGTCAGATTTTCAAAATTCAAAATGGTGGACTCAATATAGTGTTAATATTGAATTACGAATAATGAAATATAAATATATTGTATCAAACATACAATTAACGCCCTTAGCCTTTGAGCTTTCAAAGTTTCCCGATTCTCACCACGAGGAGGTGGACGAATTTGAGAATCATTTTTTTAAAATTTTTTTTGTTTTTTAATGTTTTTAAAATTTTTTTGTTTAATTTTTAATGTTTTTTTTTTTTTTTTAAATTTTTTTGTTTAATTTTTAATGTTTTTTTAAAATTTTTTTGTTTAATTTTTAATGTTTTTTTAAAATTTTTTTGTTTAATTTTTAAAGTTTTTTAAAAATTTTTTTGGTTAATTTTTAAAGTTTTTTTGTGTTTTGATTTTCAATGGTTTTGAATTAAATTTTGTAATAAAAAATAGTTTTTATTTTTCTGCATGAGCTTGTTTAAAACAGCTGTCACAGTAATGTAACGAGCAGGTTTTGCAGAATTTTCTGGCTCGGATTTTGCAGTTAGCCGTACTACATTATCGAGGTAATTTTTGTTGTTCAGTTTCATGAAGATCTGGTTTACTTACCTTTGATCGATTCAAATATTCCTTACCTACTGACATAGCTACAAATTTTGTACTAACCTTGTGTTCGTGGCAAAGGTTGTACAATATTGTAGCATTCGTCATTGCAGACTGTATCATCCGAACAAAAATTGTCCAGGTCCACTTTTTTGATCTAATAGTCGGCTCTATTGCGTTACACCTTTGATCATGTAGGTCAACACCACCCATAAACTGATTGTAAATCATAAACGCTCTTGGAAATTTCAGTTCTTTCCTTTCTTTTTGACCCTTTACACGACGTTCTACTGTTCCTGAAGGTGTGACACCAACTGCACTGGATAAGATGGAGACTGGTTTGGAGTCCATAATTGTGATAAAATTTATGCCACTTTGTTTATCACATTTGACTTCAAACTTCCCTCTTTCATCTTTATCCGTAACTGCATTTTTGACTTCCACTCTGTTTGCTCTGACTGTGCTAGTAGCAACAAGTCCATATTTTTTTAAATGAACGAGCAGATCCGGACAAGTAAAAAGGTTGTCAAAGTAGATATGCAGTTGGTCTCGTTTGCGTAAAGTTACAGTAGAAAAAACTACTTGTAGCATATTCACCACTACACGACTACCAAGTGCACACTTTGCTAACTTTTCAGTTTTCTGATTACTTTTACCACAGTATACGTCAAAATCAAAAAGAAAACCGTTAGAACTACAGAGAGCCCATAATTTTATACCGAACCTTTTGGGTTTTCCCTTTATAAATTGCTTTAATACAGACCTTCCATAAAATTTAAGCATCATCTCATCAATGGATAGTGCAGTGGAAAATATCCCAAACTGAATGAGATTTTTTCTAAAAATGTTTATAAGCGTTCTCACACGCCAGACTCTGTCAGCATCATTTTGATCCTCTGATTGATGGAATTTAATTTTTGATTTTATCGTTTCAAAATTTAAGCGAGACATTGACGATGATACTGGTTCAGCTTTTAAATGTGGTTCTCGGGACCAATAATCTCTTTGCGACAATCGTTTGTTATACATTGTGAATATTATTATACCCACAAAAACATTGAAGTCAGTAATTGACATCTTGTAGCCATTTTTTTCTGTGCAGTTGACTATATGATTTTTAAGGTCTAATGAGAAAAAGAGTTCGAACAACTCAGTCGGAGTACTACTCAATATTTTAGACTTTTGTATTTGATTTAGCATGATCTTGTTTTCAAAAGAAAAACTGTCATCTGCCTCAGAAAAATTATTCTCGGACTCACAATCTGATTCATCATCTAAATTAGATTCCCCAGAATCATTAGCAGATGGAATTATGTTGGCATTGATATATTCATCACACTCTTCATATTCGATAGAGTCGCGAAGTGAAAATTTTGTTCCGCTTCGTCGTGTTTTGGAAGGAATCGTTTTTTCGGATATTGTATCTGACCTCCTTTTAGGCGGCATTGTACAATATTTTATAGATAATAATATATGTATATATAAGTATTATGCATGTACAATATTTTATATAAAATAATATATGTATATGTATGTATTATGCATTCGCAGATGTGGATAGTAATGTATTAGTATCAATGTATTAGTGTCAATGTATTAGTGTCAATGGTTTAGTATCAATGTATCAGTATCAATGTATAGGTATCAATGTATAGGTATAAATGTATTAGTATCAAAGTATTAGTATCAATGTATTAGTGTAAATGTATTACTATCAATGTATTAGTGTCAATGTATAAGTGTCAGTGTATTAGTATCAATGTATTACTATCAATGTATAAGTATCAATGTATAAGTATCGATGTATTAGTATCAATGTATATGTATCAATGTATGAGTATCAATGTATAAGTATCAATGTATAAGTATCAATGTATAAATATCAATGCATAAATATCAACGTATAAGTATCAATGTATTTGTATCAATGTATTGACAATTTTTGTGCGGATGATACATTCTGCAATTACGAATGCTACAATATTGTACAACCTTCACACGAACACAAAAATCTATTTTTTATTACATAATTTAATTCAAAACCATTGAAAATTAAAACACAAAAAACTTTAAACATTAAAAAAAAAAATTTTTTTATTAAAAAAATGATTCTTAAATCCCAAAACCCCCCCGAGTAACAAATTTGAAGACAATACGATAAAGTTTTAGATTTGTCGTCCGCCATATTGGATCCGCCATTTTGAATTTTGAAAATATGACTTCAGATTCGTAATCAGCGACCCCAAAAACCCCCGAGTAACAAATTTGAAGACAATACGATAAAGTTTTAGATTTGTCGTCCGCCATATTGGGTCCGCCATTTTTAATTTTGAAAATCTGACCTCAGATTCGTAATGAGCGACCCCGAAAACCCCCGATTAACAAATTTGAAGACAATACGATAAAGTTTTAGATTTGTCGTCCGCCATATTGGGTCCGCCATTTTTAATTTTGAAAATCTGACCTCAGATTCGTAATCAGCGACCCCGAAAACCCCCGAGTAACAAATTTGAAGACAATACGATAAAGTTTTAGATTTATCGTCCGCCATATTGGATCCGCCATTTTGAATTTTGAAAATCTGAATTCAGATTCGTAATCAGCGACCCCAAAAACCCCCGAGTAACAAGTTTCAAGCGAATTCAACAATTTTTGAAAATTTTGTCCATCCTGTGTTAAATTTTGAAAAAAATTTTATTTTCAGGCGCCATTTTGAATTAAAAAAAACAAAAAATCTTAAAACGCAAAGTATATTTTCAAACTAGAAGTATCGGGAACACGTTTTGTATACCTTAGGTGACCTGGAAAAATTAATATACTAACTAAAATTGGATAAAAAAAAATTACTTTCCAAAATTTTGTATTTTTTGAGTATTTTTGAAAAAAATAAGGGTTAAATGGCACTTTTTGGGAATTTTGACAATGCCATTCGAAAGAGCGACCCCAAAAACATATGGGTATGTGCCTGCAGAATTTTTAATAATTTTTTTCTTTGAATAATAAGAGCTTGAAATCGAAGTTAGAAATCAGCACATTTGGTCGTTAAAGGGTTACTGGGCTATGTTAAGATGAAAGCAGAGTAAAATCTCCAAAGGGTCTTGAAAAGTTATCAGCCGCTTAGTTTTTATAATCATTTTGAATAAATCAGTGTTTTTTCAGTCTCATCACATGAGAATTTAGTTTTGGTCGAAAATTAAGTTTTGCTAATTTTATTTTAAATCACTCTAACCAGTGATTGGTCAGTAAATTGCGCATTTTTAAAATAGTTTCTTACTTTCTTAATAAAAATTATAGTTTTTATTCCAATAAACAAATGCAATTAACAAACTATGCTTAAAAATTACATTTACTTAATTTGTAGTAGTAATTTTTTTCTTCTTTTCACACTAAACCTGTTGGCGAGCTAAGGGCCTCAAGAACCAAATTATTGATCGACAGAAAAAGAAGACGGGAGAGGGAAAAGGGCAATGACCGGGTTGAGCTGGGTCAGTGTTAAACGTGACACCGTTCGGGCCCTCCACGTGTTGCCAAGTGTTTAGTGCCGTCAATTGATAACGATTGTGTGTTTGACAATTATGTATATACTAATTAAGTGTTTGTAATTTTATTGTTAGTGTTAAATTATTATTGATACCTTGGATTCGTCGTTCTAAGTTTATTCTCATTTATTGTTCTCTGTCAATGCGCTACAGACTGTGGCGCCCGGTGGGTGAATACCGTGTAGAGGTAAAGGGAGGAGGAATCGCACGAATACCTGGACACGAGCTGCTGTGCGGTGAAGCGACTAACCTCTTAAGAATACCTTTACTGAAATAAGTACACAAGGAGAATTGTGGCGTGTTGAGAGAGATTTCAATATGTATATTACAATTTCATAAAATAATAAATAAACTATATTAATTCAACTCATTCACATTATTGTCACTCAACCCTCACCTACTGCCGTAGTAGTCAGTAATACGAATGAATAACGGAGCATCCCTCCCGGAATAACAAAACCGCAAAATATTTAATTTTTTTATTTACATCTTCACTAAAACGGTGCTAAAATTAAAATGTAATAACTCTTTTGAACATTAAAAGAAAATTTTACTCAGATCCGATTAGTGGCTATGAATTCTGTTATGCATTTTAAAAATTTTAGATTTGTGCATAAAAGTAGACCTATATTTTCCTTGACATAAACATAAATTGTTTATAGATTTCTTTCAAAAACTAATATGTGACCGCGTCTGAGAAAAGGGACCATACGACCAAACTCAACTTTTTGAGTAAAATGCGTTTAAAGTTTTTCAATCAAATTACTGATTTTAAGCGAAAATAACTATCATCATTTTCGTCATAAAAAAGTATATTTGGATTGAAAATTTTTTCTAAAATACAATTTTTTTAAAAATTTGTTTAAACAATTAAAAACAAATTTTTAACCCGGAACTAATTGCATGACATTTTAAGGACCTTAGAGTGTAAGAAATTGTCTAAATCTATAAATCTATTTTTTTGGTCAGACGCGGTCACATATATGTATAATACACGAATACATTTTAAACCAAAATGTCCAAAAAAACCTATTGTACACTACCGTCCACGAGTATCAGGACGATTACACACGACTCTATAAAAAAACATGCCACCAATTTTTCAATCATATCTCGTAAATAAAAGGAGATACAAAAAAAACTTAAATAAGGTTAGAAAGCTGATTAAATTTTGCGTAAAATAAGCCGTCTTTGAAGTTATTTCGTAAACTTTTTTTTGAGTTGTAGAGTGAGAAAGAAATAAAAAAAATTATCAAATTTTCTCATGTTTATCTTTTAAATTCAACTTTTTCAAAAATCTAAAAAAATTTTCTAAAAACACAGAAATCTTCGTTATCATTTCAGCTTGAAAATAAGCCTTCGAAAATTAAAAAGGGATAATCTGTCTTCGATATATCATTAAAAGTAAAGCTGTGTTTCGACCGATTGGTGCATTGAAATTCAACTGTCATGACTCGATTCTGGCTTCGGTCGGCAGCGAATGAGAGAGAAAGAAGGGACGAATTCATGCGGGGGAACGATGAACTTTCGAGTTTCTTTATATTGCTCATGAAACATCATTATTTATTATTCCCCAGCATAAATTCGTCCCTGTTTTCTCTCCCATTCGCAGCCGCGCGAAGCTAGAATCGAATCGTCACAGTTAAATTTCAATTTTTAAGTACTAGCACCCTCACCCGAACGCTATAAGACAATCAAAATTTGGTAAAAATGTTATTAAAAATTTATTTCTTCCAATTTTAATATTTCTAATCATCTAAAAATTATCTGAGTTCCAGTAGGGACTCATCCCTACGCAATCCTGACGAATGAAATTTTTTTTAAAATTTTTAATCAGTAGCACCCTCACCCGAACGCTATCAAACAATCAAAATTTGGTGAAAAAGACATTATAAATGTATTACTTTCAAATTCAATAATTCTAATCGTCTAAAAATTACCTAAGTTCTAGTAGAAACTGATCCCTACACAATTCTAAAGAATATAAAATTTGATTTCAATTTTTAAGTAATAGCAGACTCACTCAAACGCTGTCAGACAATCAAAATTTGGTGAAAAAGTTTTTTTTTGTTTGTTAAATGGTTTGTTGCATATCAGGTAGCCAAAACACCAAGAAAAAAGTAATTAAAAATTGATTTCTTCCAATTTTAATAATTCTAATCATTTGAAAATTACGTGACTTCTTCAGCCCTACACAATCCTGAAGAATCTAATCTAACAACCGAAATCGAGATGGATTTTCCTAAAGAGGGGAAAGTAAGCACCTACATTAAAAAACCTATTGTACCAGACTCCAGCTTGCTCGTTTAAAGCAACTTCTTTAGAGTCCTGTTCTTCTCCAGAAGTTTAGTATCTTTTTTATCGATAAGTTGCTCACCTGCTTAGGGTCAATAATTGCTTGACCCAACTAGATAGCCTGATCCTAGCTAACGCTGGGCATTCAGATAATATGTGAGTCGAAGTTTCGTTACTCGTCTAACACAATCTGCACATAGGTGAAATTTGTCTACCTATTTTATGCTGATAGTAATTTAATAGTCCATGACCTGAAAGCAGACGGACTGCGGTTCTAATACTGATCTTATCGAGTTTCATAAGATCGCTCGCTTGCCTTCACTGCAAAAACAAGTGTCTCATTTTGAGACGATTTGTCCTATATTTGAAACACATAAGATGTCTTAGTCCACATATTTGAAACAGATATGTGTCTCATTTTAAGACGTTTCAAAGTGTCTTACACATTTAGCAATGCATTTTGAGACACGAAATGTGTTTCGAGTATCCGTCTCACACTAAGAAGACGTTTTACGTGTCTTATACGCATTGAGTTACCTTTAATGTCTTAAAATGAGACACGAGATGAAATTAAATGTCTCAATATTAAACAGATTTTGTATCTCAATGGTTTAAACACTTAAAGCAACTCATTTTAAGACACGAGTGAGATACCAGTTTTGGCAGTGTTCCCACCCCAATGTCCGCCCAATATTTCTCATGTTCCTTTTGACTCCATCTTTCTTTGGCTCCCTTAACCAAGCACGGCATTATTGCCACTGCTGGTTCAGAACCTATAAATGCCGTCTTCTCTTTCATTACCCTTGATTCCCGATTGACCCGGTATCCAAATCAATGAAAGTTTATTTACTGAACCTAACTCATCTAGTACGCTACGGCATTCCCAGACGAGTTTTGATTCTATTGTAGGACTTTTCAGAGCCCCTAAGGCCGCCTGACTATCCACACAAATACTAATCCTCTTGCCGTTTGTTCTGTTTTGACTGGACATTTTGGCGCAAGTTAAAATCGCACAAACCTTGGCCTGCCAGACCGCGGCATATTGTCCTAGTGACTCAGCCATTTTAATGCAGCCAGTTTTTCGATAGATTCTGAAGTTTGCACCCCAGTCCATCTTGGAGCCGTCTGTATACTGATATTCAAAATGTTCCTTTTAACTCAGATTTTTATCCAGGATTACTCCCAGGTACTCAGCCGCTTTGGAAAAAGAAACTTCTTTTCCATAAAATATCGGTTTCTTCAAACTCGGTACCTTATATTTTATTGTAAAAACTACTATATTCGTTTTTTCTAGGTCCAGTTAGATTGCACCAATCCTTGACAATCTTAAGTGCACGTTCCGTAAGTTCTAAGAGGGTCTTAATTGAGTGTCCTCTTATAATTATAAGGAAATTATCCGCATAACTTTGCGTATAATATCCCTGGCTATTGAGGTTTCTAATTAACTCATCTGCTACTAAGGACCACAATAAAGGAGAGAGAACTTCTCCTTGTGGGCACCCTTTTGAGACAAGGCCTGTTACCCTAGCCTCACCATACTCCGCTTCAAGGGCCATTTCGCGAAGCATGCTGTTGATCTACTTAATTAGCGGCTCGGGCACACCTCGCTTCTTGGCTGCCCTACAGATAACTTTGCTAGAGGTGTTAGGGAAGGCACCATTAATATCAAGAAACGTACCAACCGCATTGACATCACTGCTAATTTGTCCCTCTATTCTACCTACTGCAGAATAGAGGGCTGTTTCTACTGAGAACTCTGCTCTATAAGCATGTTGTCCCTGGTGTAGAGGATAATCCCTAAGACATTCCTGTCTGATAAAATTATCCACCAGTTTCTCTAACGCCTTTAATATAAAAGAAGTTAGACTGATTGGTCTGAAGTCCTTTGCAGCAGTATACCTTGACCGACCGGCCTTCGGAATAAAGACAACCCTCGTCTTTTTCCAAGACTCCGGTGTGTAACCAAGAGCTATACACGGTCTCATAATTTTACACAGGAGTAGTCTAATACATTCCAATCCCTTTTGCAAAAGAACTAGATATATACCGTCCCTCCTGAGGCCTTAAATGGTTTGAAAGTATCTATTGCTCATTGATTGCGATGAGATTAATGGAATTGATTCAGCAATGTTCAATCAATCCCTTCCGGAGTTACAACTTTGGCTGCTAGTTTCCAGTGTTCCCGATTTTCTCGGTCCCTTCTAGGTCCCACGCCATAGTTATTCTTTAACTTTTCTCTAATGTCCAAATCTTTCTTACTTTTTGCGTATGTCTTTCCAAACAGGAGTTCCACCATTTACTACTCCTGTTGGAGTCCACTTTTTTGGCTACACAGCTTCTTTCAAAAGAGCAGATAATCGAATCTCGCAGATATTCCGCTGCGAGTTCTAATTCTTTATATGTTTCATAAGAGGTGGGGAAGCACTCCATGGAGACCTTGCGGTCCTCAATATATGAAGCCCAATCAGTACTCCTAGGATAACGTCCCCATTTATGTTCCCGATCTTTCGATTCCATTCTGAATGTCATAAGTCTGTGGTCCGAAAGAGAATCTTCATCAGACATCCTCCAGTTTCGCACACCACTCCACACAGACTTGGAACAGATCGGAATATCCAACACTTCTATTCTGTTAACAGTAACGAAAGTTGGCTAATTACCGATTTAAAATTTCTAAATCCGTATCTATGAGAAAATCTAAAAGTCTTCTGCCTCTGTCGTTAATGTCAGTGCTGACCCATACGACATGGTGCGCATTGACATCTAACCTATCAAAGGGAAACTTTGCCGTTGACAGTAATCTACCAACTTCTCAACCTCCCTAGGTGGTGCGGGGTCATCCCCCGATCCCGGAAAATAAGCAGAAGCTACTACAACCTCCCTTTTATTTCCGTTCTTTTCCAAGTACTTAGCCTTAACAACAGCGAAGGCCCTAGTAGTTAATTCCAATAGAGGGAAAGCGTCTAGACCTTTATAGATCAAGCAAGCCCTTGAAACTGGTTCCTGTCGTTAACTAATTAGCTCCCCACAGCCATTTAGATCCTTGCAAACCTTGTAAACTCAAGGTTCTTAAACAAAGGCTATAGCTGCCTGCATCCTTTTAAGGATTGGTTAGAATCGCCGAAGCGCCTTTACAATGATGCAATTTAATCTGCATACAGTGGATCACGGAAGCAGCCATATTTCAGACTGACTCACGGTCCTCTCTGTCGCCCCCACACCCTGATCGCCAGCATCGTAGAGGGCTCTTCGACTATCGCGTGGGTGGTTTTATTTTTATTAATTTCTGTAGTATCCATTAAGGTCCCACGAGAAAAGAGGAAAAGAAGGTCTATCCTTAAAGAGCCTCTATTTAAGGAAAAGGCTAATAACATCTGAGAGGTCGCCTGGTATCCTAGAGTCTCGTTTAAGATACCTCCATTCGGAGCCCCACCATGGAAAGGTGGCGCCCAGAAGGACGGGCCCCTCCTGTAACACAACCGCTCCCGAGCTTTACGAGAGCTAAGTTATGCCCTGATATCATGCATCCATGGACACGAGTTTATCGCCATGGCTCAGCCAACCAAACCATGAAAGGGTTTCTGCTTAGTCAGACTCCGCCAGCAGGAAATTTTCGGAATGGACACGCGGTTAAGCCTTTGTCCATCCCGTATATCTCGATGACCCCTCTAAATCACCATGCCCTGGGACACTGCCCAGCAAAACATAGTAGATTCAGTTTCTCGAGCAACCGACCCATTTTAAAGGGTTCGTCCCCTCTGTCCCCACGAAAGGTCTCGAGAAGTAGTTTCCTGCCGGGAAAGAGACCCTCAAAAAAACCTCCCACCAACGGCAAGGTCTTGAAACCCCTAGGGAGGGATCCTGAAGAATGGAAAATTTTATTTATATTTTATAAGTAGTAGTACCCTTACCCGAACGCTATCAAACAATCAAAATTTGGTGAAAAAGGCATTCAAAATTTATAACTTCCAAATTCAATAAGGGGTCATTCACAAACTACGTCACGCTTTTTCGGACTAATTTTGACCCGCCCCCCTTCTTCACATTTTTTACATGCAAAAAATTTTTCTTCCACGCTTCGTCACACACAGCTTAACACCCCCCACCCCTAGGAGTGTGACGTAGTTTATGAACGACCACTTATTCTAATCATCTGAAAATTACCTGAGTACTAGTAAGGACTCACAAGTAACACTACCCAAGTGAAACTCATCGATTTTATTAAAACTTGGTATACATATACTATGTCGAAAAATATTTGACACGTGTTTTTTTATATCGGCCCAATATGATATTTAAGGGCTGAAACTACCTTTTGAAATATTTACATCCCTTTTAGACAAATTATATTATCAATGAAACAAATCAGCCAATTATAGTAAAAATTTGTATAAAAGGGTTTTTGGGGTCGCTGATTACACAGGTCAACAAAAAAAGACTTACTTTTTTTTATGAGATAGCGGAATGGTTTCCTATGTATTTTTGGACGCTGAACACGATCCCGACTTCCAAATTTGCCCATCACGTCAGGATTTTGAGAAAAGTGGGGGTAAAGACCCCAAAAACGCTTTTTTGAGGATTTTCAACATTTCTTTTCTCTTTAACCTGACGTGCTAGAGACTTCCACAAGGTCTTAAATTAAAGCTTGTAATGTGCACTAAAAGACCAATATCCATAAAATAAAAAAAAATTAAAATTTTTTTCAAAAAATGGGATTGAAGACACCAAAAATTTGTGTTTTTGGATTGCTTTAATAGACTTCTTGCAATCGCTTGGATTCGCTTGAAAATGGGTACTTGGGGTTTTTGGGGTCGCTGATTACGAATCCAATATTTGTTTGCAAAAATTTAAAACGGCGAAACCAAGATGGCAGATGTAAGAATTAAGAATTGCTTGGATTCGCTTGAAAATTGTTATTTCAGGGATTTTGGGGTCGCTGATTACGAATCCGATATTAGTTTGCAAAAATTAAAAATGGCAAAAAGTCTATTAAAGCAATCCAAAAACACAAATTTTTGGTGTCTTCAATCCCATTTTTTGAAAAAAATTTTAATTTTTTTTTATTTTATGGATATTGGTCTTTTAGTGCACATTACAAGCTTTAATTTAAGACCTTGTGGAAGTCTCTAGCACGTCAGGTTAAAGGGAAAATAAATGTTGAAATTCCTCAAAAAAGCGTTTTTGGGGTCTTTACCCCCACTTTTCTCAAAATCCTGACGTGATGGGCAATTTTGGAAGTCGGGATCGTTTTCAGCGTCCAAAAATACATAGGAAACCATTCCGCTATCTCATAAAAAAAAGTAAGTCTTTTTTTGTTGACCTGTGTTACGAATCTGCAGTTAGTTTTTCAAAATTCAAATAGGCGGATCCAATATGGCGGACGACATTTTGAAAATTTTATTAGATGCACTTAAAACTCATAACTCAGGGGTTTTTGGAGTTGCTGATTACGAATCTGCATGTTAGTTTTTCAAAATTCAAAATGGCGGGTACAATATTGTGGACGAATTTTTTTAAAACAATCGGTTTTATTTAAAATTAAAAACTTGATGATTTTCTATGTCATTGATGATAAATATGAAGTCAATTTTCAATAATATTTAATTGTGATTGAGTAAAAATTCCTGAAGTGTAACAGCAAATTTTGAGGTACACTGTATTTACTTGGTAATACATGAAAATGAAACATAATTATGAGATAATTAAATGTCTAGAAGGATTTTTCAAAAAAATTAAATTTCATTTAGTTATAAACAATTAAAGTTTTTTGAATTGTTTGATTAAAAAATTAATATTTCGGAACAGAATAAACGAATCGTTATAAAATTTGATATATATACTCAGAAAATGATGTAGTTTCAAATGAAATAATTAAAAAATTAAATTGTTTAATTTTTGTAATTGTTAATGCAAATTTAATTGTTTATTTATAAAATAAACAATGTTCTTAACGTCGTAGAAAGTTTGTTCAAATTTCATCGTAAAGGATATTTTCTAACGATTCCATAACCGTTTGAAAATTCAGTGTCCCGCAAAAATCTTAAAAATAAATTTTTAAGAAACTTAAGGAAGCAACTTTTAGAATTTCGATTTTTTATTATTATTATTTTAATGCAAATAACAAATAAGTCATGACTTTGATTGCTTTTCGTCTCATATATTAGAGAAAAAATTGTTTCTTCTCAATATTGCATAAATCTTATGAGTATTAACATATAAAAGACAGAAAATGATATTTCAACAATAAAAATTTTTTTTTATAATTTTGAACAACTTTTAATTTTTTAAGCTAAATTAACAAATAAATAGCTCGCTTGTTTGTAGTAGAACAAAATTTGTTTCTTTTCTACTGACTTTAGAATTACGTCACTATTAACAGCTGTACATAATTATTGTTAAAAAAATATAATTTATTAATGTTATAAACAAATTAACTTAAAAAATGAATTATTCATTTGTTTATAGTCGAAATGGCATCTTTTTTTCTAATCGTTCTAAAATAATGTTACCAATAATATTTATGGACATTTTTCATAGTTTTTTATTTGTTTATTATATAAACAAATAAAGTTAACTTAAAATGAACTCTTTACTTGATTATAGGAAAAATGGCTTTAAAAAATGTCTATGAAAATATTATTGGTAACATAATTTTAAAACGTTTAGTAAAAAATTCAATTTTTCTATAATCAAGTGAAGAGTTCATTTTAAGTTAACTTTATCTATAAACAAATAATAAAATATAAAAAATGTCCAAAAATATTATTGGTAACATAAGTTTAGAACGATTAGAAAAAAAACGATGCCATTTCGACTATAAACAAATGAACAATTCATTTGTTAAGTTAATTTGTTTATAACATTAATAAATAATATTTTTTGAACAATAATTAGGTACAGCTGTTAATAGTGATGTAATTCTAAAGTCAGTAGAAAAGAAACAAATTTTGTTCTACTACAAACAAGAGAGCTATTTATTTGTTAATTTTTTTAGCTTAGAAAATTAAAGTTGTTCAAAATTATAAAAAAAAATAATTTTTTTCGTCGAAATATCATTTTTTGTCTTTCATATGTTAATACTCATAAGATTCTGAGTATACATACCAAATTTGATAACGATTCGTTTATTCTGTTCCGAGATATTAATTTTTTAATAAAATACTGCAAAAAACTTTAATCCACCATATTGGATCCGCCATTTTGAATTTTGAAAAACTAACTGCAGATTCGTAATTAGCGACCCTAAAACCGAGTTTTTTGAAGAATAGAAAATTTTATTTTAATTTTTAAATAGTAGCAGGTCCACCCGGACGCTATCAGACAATCAAAAATTTGGGAAAAAGTAATTTTTTTTGTTAAATGGCTTGTTGCATAGCAGGTAGCCAAAACACGAGGGAAAATGTAATTAAAAATTTATTTCTTCCAATTTTAATAATTCTAATTATCTGAAAATTGCCTGAGTTTTAGTAGAGACTCAGCCCTACACAATCCTAAAGAATGGAAAATTTGATTTTAATTTTTAAGTAGCAGCAGGTTTACCCGAACGCTGTCAGACAATCAAAATTTGGTAAAAAAGACATTAAAAATGTATTACTTCCAAATTCAATAATTTTAATCATCTAAAAATTACCTGAGTTCTAGTAGGGACTCAGATTTACACAATCTTGAAAAATAGTAAATTTTATTTTAATTTTTAAGTAGTAGCAGGTCCACCCGGACGCTATCAGACAATCAAAATTTTAGGAAAAAGTAATTATAAATTTACTTGTTTTGACTTACCGGTCACATCTTGAAAATAAAACTACATGTGCTATACTCTTCCCTCAAAATTTACGTTAACTTTAAGGGCAGTTTTGACCTACACGTCAAAACTTGCCAAAAGTATAGCCACTTAAATGCATTTATAAAACAGCTAAGACATTAACCCTACTTTTTGACAGAACGATATAAAGCAGTGTACTGTTCTAAGTTTTACCAGAAGATAGGACTGTATCACACTGAAGTATCGATTTTATGATAACTCCATGGAAAAACAGTTCAATTTTGACTTTTAACCTGAAGGTCAAAAAGAAGACCCGTAAAAACTCCCTAAAGCAGCGTCATATTTTAAAAAATACAAAATGTATTGAAATTTCCTGAAATATATATCGAGATTTTGACTCAATTAATAATATTCCAGAAAAAACAAATTTTTTCAGAAAAATGATCAAAATTAATATTAATTAATTTCCGAAAACTACAATGTATTAATTTTTGTACTCTTTTTTAATATTTGCGAATTTTGCAAAAATTATGTTTCGAATTCTTTAGCAGGGTTATTTGGGGTAAATGTAAACAGTAGATGTTTCAGCTTTTACAAATTTAAAAATAAGTACGACGTCAATATTTTTACTTCAGCTCACCTACAAGATGTTATGAGTATTGCCAATATTTTGACAATTGGCAATGCCATAGTGTAAGTTATCTTTTAATGCAAAAAAGATTGAAAATCAAGCTTTACTGTTTCAGTATTTTGTCTCGCATTTGCAAAAAATAAATTTAAAAATCAAACAAAAATATGTATTTCTTCTTTATTAATGCCCTAACAAAAGTTGACTTTGATTTTTGATTTTCATCAATTTAGTTAATAAATAATTAAGTATTTACATT